TATCTTGTGGTCCATCTTACCACAACTAAAACAAGCATTGGAACCCTCTAGACATTTTCCCTTGTGCTTCCTTTCACACTTAGTACAAGTAGGCAATGAAGGCCGACTACCACCTCCTTGATGTTTAGGGTTAGACACCCTACCTTGGTCAAATATTGGAGGAGCATTAGAGGAACCTTTCCTTGAAAACTTTTGTTGAAACCTTGAACGACCACGTCTACTGGACCTATAATATGAAGAATTACCATCCTCGGTTCTTGCCCTTTTTACTTCCCTAGACTTCTCCTTAAGTTTCTCGTCCTCAGTTTGTTGAGCATGGACCATGAGGTGAGAGGTGTCCATGTCATGGAAAAGCATAGAGGTATGACATTCTTTCACCACTTATTCAGACAGTCTTGAAAAAAACTTGCTCATTCTTGCCCTAGAGTCGGCAATTATAGAGGTAGCATAGCTCGACAACTCGGTGAATCTCAAAGCATATTCTTTCAAACTCATGTTCCCTTGTCAGAGGTTGATAAACTCAAGAACCTTTGCCTCCCTCATCTCAAGAGGAAAGAACCTATCAAGGAAAGCAGACTTGAACTTTTCCCAATCTGGAGGACCCGCATCTTCTGTCCTTCCTTCCATTGGTTGAACCAAATTTAAGCAACACCTTTAAGTTGATAAGCAGCCAATTCGGTCTTTTCCACCAGCGTCACTACCATAATAGCCAACACCTTGTACACCTCATCAATGAAATCTTGGGTATCTTCCTCAACCATAGAACCATAGAATTCTGGAGGATTAATCCTAGTGAAATCCTTTACTCTAGATGTTGCCGCTCCCACATTTGATTTCACAAGAGGTAATTCCCTGTTGGCTTGCACCGTCACAGCATGTGCCAAAACTTGAAAAATAGTTCTAAACTCTGCAAAGGTTACTTGCTTAGCCAAAGGGTCGGTCGGGACCTGTAGAGCTTGAGGAGGAACCTCTTGACCAACATCCTCTCCCTCATTCCTTCTAGCATATGCCCTTCGAGTAATCATATCCTTTAGACCATCGAATAAGGATTAGGAGAGAAACATTATCGAGTCAAACTCTTTCGCATGACTTAGAGTGAAGAAAGAAGTGAAGTTTCCTAAACATCTTGTAGCCTCCCATTCATAAATGTGGTGCGCTTCACACTCATAAATAAGACTCTACTTGACGTGGTTTCTAGACATCCTAGAACCTTTCTAAACCTTGTGCTCTGATTACCAAGTTTGTCACGACCTAGGGGTACCCCCTAGATGTAACATGGCATACAAAACCCCGAGAGGCCTCATACAAGCCACTTAGATTTCATGGTCAAGATCATAGAAATCAGTAAGATTTAAAACATTATTTCAAGATAAACAAAATTTTCAAATGCAAAGCGGAAGTCGAAACTTTTAACTTAAAAACCATCTACTGCAATAGGGATGTAGGCCATACATCAATGTCAAAACACAAAATCAAAAGAACATAAGAAAAGTAGTGGCCAAATCCTCAAATAAATGAGGACTCACCAATCGTCAACTTTTCTTCTACTATGGATCCTAGCCACGGAGGTGAGAATCGGGAACGCCGGACCCAACATTTGGATAAGAAATGTAGGTAAGAGTATGTGGTAGTACAAAAGTGTACTAAATATGATAGCATGCATAAATATAACATAAGAGTTAGACAACGTAAATCATAAAACATAATCAATGCACGTAATAGATCATCTCAACATGTAAAGAGTACTTGTCGAAGTAACCTTAATTCTTCCTAAGTCTAGATATGGGTAATCGCCTCTAGTCTTACTCATGATGGAAGGCAAACTCAAGCAACAATCCAAGCTCATCATTTATCATAGCATATTATAGCTTATCTTTTAAGGACACAGGGATCGCCTCTTGCCTTTTTATAAAGGATCATGTGTAATCACCTCTATCCTCTTGCTTAGGATCATGGGTAATCGCCTCTCGTCCTCTTGCTTAGGATCATGGGTAATCGCCTCTAGTCCAACTTGCATTATAGGAACATGGGTAACTGCCTCTAGTCCTACTTTAAGGAATATGGGTAATCGCCTCTTATCCTACTCATTTAAGGATCATGGGTAATCACATCTAGCACTAATAATTTTCATAGTTCCTTAGCTTAGATTCATTTTAGGAGCGAAATCCTTTCAACCTAGAGTCGTTCAATGTGAGAAAGCCTATCACATTCATACACAAGAAATGATGTGGGAAAATCGCTTCCACAATAATCACATCAAAAATTAATAATTAATAACATATGCTTCACTCATGAAGAAATTCTTATCATAAATCATCACATATGCTTAAATCTCAAAGAAATTCATATTGTATCTTATTTATCCCATAAGAATACACATAAATCCATAAATTCTTCTTTCATAGAATAAAACCCATCTTAAATCAATTTCTTCATCGAAACATGGTTAAGCACGGGTAGATGTAATTTCATCATTAAAACATAGAATCCTCTCAATTAATGCATAATCAATCATAATTCAATCAATTGAATCAACATTCATAAGAACTCATAACTTGGAAGAAAACCCTAATTCAAATTAGGACATTTCTATTTTTCAATTTGGAGAACTTGGGGGCTCCATGGATGCGAGCGTTCCATGGATGAAAAGCTAGCATACCTTTCTATCAAGGTCCAAAAGAAATTGAAGAGTGGAGGCTCAACCTTGAACCCTATCTTGAATCTTCTTCTTCAAACTTCTAGAGAGCGAAATGTCCTTAGGAGAGGAAGACTCAACTTTTTTTGGTGAATTTGAAGAGAATGAAGTGAATGAATTAATTTGGGGTGAAAATCACTTATCTAAGGGTCCTAGTCATGGGAAAAATGACATAGTATTATTTTAAAGAAATCTGGAAAAGACCCAAAAGCCCTTGAACTTACAGCTGCCGAACCCCCAACATGGTGCCCTTCATGAGCCGTCAAGGATCACACGATCCATGGTGGGAGTCGTGGTCCTTGACCAGTGGCCTAGAAAACTTTCCCTGAAATCCCACTCCCCTTAAGACCCACTACTCTAGTCGTCATGGCTTTCATGAGCCATCTAGTGGCTCGTGTGGAGGGTCAGCCTTAAAGTGGCTATTGCATACCCCTTCACAGGCATCACTATGCGCCTTCGTGCTCACCACGAGCCGTCTAGGTGCTCATGAAAGGTGAGTACTTTTTGGTTTTCCACTGTGCGCCCTTCACGAGCTACACTATGCCTTGTGGTGCCTTTCACGGCTCGCCTTGGCCTTCGTGAAGTGTGCCCAGGCTCAGTCTTTGGCTTGTGACCTCTCACTTGGTCCCTTTCTTAGCCTACTAGATTCCAATATGTTACAACAAGTTGCCGCCAGGCCTTAGGTGCAACAAACATGAACTTCCACCTACGTTGGTATGTATTTGCTTTCTTTGGCACCATTGTACCTATGGAAGACTTGTTTGAACCCAAACTATGCAAAACAAAACAAGAAAAAAAGAAAATAAAACTACAAAACTAATTTGTTTTTACAGGAAAGAGTGTTTTTGGGACCCATGGTTGGTTCTTACGGGCCGCTGTAGAAGCTTTTATGTATCGTAGGACCCACCTGTAGGTAAGGAAGTGACATTTTAAGTCCCCAAAAGTTGAATTGATGATTCACAAGTACAGTCCGTCAATGATACTACAAAACGTAAGCCAAATCGTCATTTCTAACTTAGGCTAGTGGTTTATTCCTTTGAGTGATGGGACCTTGATCTACCGTCCATAGGTCTCTCTGCGACCCGTAGATTAAAGTCGTCGATCTAAAAATTGTTATAGTTCAGACTCATATTTTTCAGCACAAATATTTCAACATCAATTCATCCTAATCACATCTAGATCATGCATTTGAACATATATTTATGTATTCCTTCATCCGTAGTGTTTAGCCATGCATTTAAACACAACAACAAATAGTCAAATCACAAACCATAAGTCATGGACACAATTTTATGCCATTTATTCACATGTTCGACACACATTTCGATGAAACTCACAATAATTTCATCCCTAGGGTACATACTCAACAAGCAATTTATACCCAAGTTCAAGTAACAACTTTTGATTTCAACAAAAAATTTAAATACTTTGGTTCAAAATCAGTACCTTTCAGAAGAAATTTGAAGTTGTGTGAGTGCGTACATTATAACTTGACAACAACCTTGACAAAATTTGAACCCGCGACCTTTAATTATTAGGAGAAGAAAATTTGGGGTGGTTTTGAGAAAGGAAGAAGAAATGGAGAATATGAGAGAGGGAAAGATTATATAGTGGATTATGGTATTTTGAAGGGTTGGAAATGGAAGTGAAAGGGTGGGAATTTGAAGGAGTTACCAATTTTGAAGAGTTGTAACGGTTGGGAAGAGGGAAATGGGGAATGAATTTGAAACGAAAGGGTTTTTATTTAAATTGGGTCACGGGTCGGGTAAGTTATTTAACACTTATAGGACCTGCGAAACCTCATCGACAGTCCATAGATAGGTTCCATCATTTCACTCTACACTTAGTAAAATTTAGAAACATACATGCGGCCTACGATTTCATACTACAGACTGTTGAACGAATGATGGTTCGTATTGTGCAACTGTAGACTTAAAGCTTCAGGTGTATTTGGACTTTAGATTCTACAGATTCCATTTACAGGCCGTTGACTGAACAACAAGTCATCAATGGGAACCGTAAAACCTTCTGCACTTATAATTTTTAAGATTTTTCTTTCTTTCTTGCACAAGTAACAAATATTAGGACTTCCATTTTACATTTTCTTGACTTTTTTTGGACACAAACCCTATACTACCCTAATCTGGCCAAGACTAAAACTCAATAAAACATAAAACTCAATAAAAAATATTTCAAACCATAAAAATCACTAAAAATCTTTTAAATTGGCTAGATTTACATCTTGGGTTGCCTCTTAAATAGTACTTGATTTAATGTCGTGGCACGATGCAGACCTCTTTATTACTCAAACTTCATCAAGATCCCATTCTTCGATTGCGTCTTTGACTTCTTCCAGCTGACCCAAGTAGACTTTAATCCTTTGAACGTTCACCTTAAATCTTGTTCCTTCCTTATTCTCAAGTTCAACCGCTTTGTGTGAAAACACTTGTACCACTATGAATGTCTTAGTCCACTTAGAATTGAGCTTGCTAGGAAACAAACGCATCCTTCAATTGAATAGAAGTACAAAATCATAAATACCAAATTCACACTTTTTGATCTTTTGAGCATGGTACCTCTTCATCTTGCCCTTATACAAGGCTGGACATTCATATGCTTTGAGGTGAAACTCATCGAGCTCATTAAACTCATTCAACCTTTGACTTGATGCGACATCCCAATCTAGATTCAAGTTCTTGAGTGCCCACATCCCTTTATGCACTAACTTTACAGGCAAGTGACAAGACTCCTAAACACAAGTTGGTTGGGAGACATATCTATGGGAGTCTTGAATGCAATGAGATAGGCCCATAGAGAATCATCAAGCTTTCTCAACCAATAAGTTCTATTTGCATTCAGCCATTGCAAAGATTTACTTAATATCTCTATTTGACACTCCGACTTGCCCACTAGACTACGGATGATAAGGAGTTGCTTCGCTGCAGCGAACACCATACTTCTCAAGCAACGCCTTCAACAACTTATTACAAAAGTGGGAACCTCCATCGTGAATAATCTCTCCTGATGTACCAAATCGGGAGAAGATATTCTTTTTGAAGAATGTGGTAACACTCTTCCCTTCATTTTTTGAAAGCGCAACAACTTCCACCCATTTAGACACATTGTCAATCGATGCAAGTATGTATTTCATCCTATTCGAACTCACAAATGGACCCATAAAGTCAAGGCCCGAAACATCAAACAATTCAATCACCATAATAGGAGTCACTAGGAGTTCTTGTTTAATTGAAACACCTCCTTCTCTTGGTTACGATCACAAAACTTGGATAAATCATGAGAATTTTTGTGGATAGTAGGCCAATAATACCCACACTGCAAGATTTTATGAGCAGTCTGTATACCACTATAATGGCCACCTACAAGAGACGAATGGCAAACTTCCAATATACTCATCATCTGTGAAGCACACATCGATAAATAATCCCATCAGTGCACAAAAAAAACAAGGCTTCTCCCAAAAAACTTTTTCACATCAGACATGAATTTTCTTTGTTGGTGGAATGACAAATCCAAATACACCACATCACTTTCCAAATAATTAGAAAAATATGTGAACCAAGGGATAAGATCAAAAGAAGCGTCCAAAACCTGTTCGTCTAGGAACATGATGAGTTGGGAATTTCGACTCATTTAGGTCCTATTATTCAATGATTTAGTGTCCTCAATGCTTATTTTATGCTCATAACTAATGTTAATTTTTTAATATGCAGCAATGAAGGCTTAAGAGTTAGGATAGGACATTATGATTCAAAAAGGAGCGAAAAAGTTGGAAAAGCTGAAGAAAAGAGCAACTGGAGCTCGCAAAAGCTACTCAACGAATCACCGAGTGGGCCTCCATCTCGCCTAATGTTCAAGCGAAGTAGCCCATGCATCTAACAAAAATTGTGATCAAACAGGTGATTCGGCGACGCGCTGAATAGATCAGCGATAGCGATCAAGCTCACAAAAAGATCCAGAACAATTTGATGAAGGAGCCAAGCCAAAAGGTGAGAAGAAGACCAACTCGGCGCATCACTGAAATAGTCGATGATCCCGACTTAATTCGCTGAGTTGACTGCGTGTTAATTTTTTGGGAACTGCATAAATTCAATTTTTGAAAGAAGAAAAGGAGTTCCCACACCGTCTACTTCAGGGTTTTTGAGAGTCTTTATATTTTTGAACATTGTTTAACATTTTTAGTAGAGTTTGGGATTTAAATTTGGATATTGTAAGATTTTAGCTTCGATTTCAACATTTGGGGATAGGAGATCATTAGAAAATCTGATGGAAAACTTTATTGGTAACAATTTCTTTCTTTTTACTATGCTTAGCTAAAACCCCTTACCTTAGGGGTGTGATCATGTAGTTGAATGCGTTAATTAGCTGATGGGTGTTATTAATTGCTGATTTTAATGTTGTTTTGAAGTGGTTTCAATAATTTGTTCATGTTTTAATTGAGCAATTGAAGTTGCAAATTCAATTCTAGTTAAGCTCTCTATGCTTTCTTGAGAAATAGGTAATAGAGTAGAATGATTGATTGATAGTTGTATTGATTGCATCTTTAAAATCTAGCTTGAGAAAGTGGTTTTGATTGCATCTTTACAAACCCAGCTTGAAAGAGTGGGTTGATTAAGGAATTGGATTGTTTGGTAGTGTTAAGCTTGTTGAGGTTCGAGAGAACTCACAGGAAACTCAATAGTTGATTGAGAGATGACTATTGTATCCAAAACCTAGCCTACCTATTAAGATTAAACAATTTTAAGCAACTAGTAACTACCCATTATGCGAAATTAGCATTCGACTCATCACATTCCTAAGGTCCGATCTCTAATTTTTTACTTCCTGTGTTAAGTAATCTTTGTCATAAATTGGTTACTAATTCCCCCCATTTGATATTAATCGTTGAAACTTCGGATTTGTTTTTGTGTTACGAAACCTTTATTTCTACAAACTATTAGGACATGATTTTACATCTTCATTGAATTCTTTACCGTATCACTGCCTGTGGGATTGACCCCAACTTCTAGTTGGGTTTATACTTGTTAGCGACCGCCTACACTTAGAATTAGATGAAAATGTAGTTGATCATTATCAAAAATGGTGCCGCTGTCGGGGAGTGGTGTTTAGAATTCTTTTATTGAAGTGTATTCATTAACTAATTCTATTGTAGTTGAATTATCATATTTGTGTTTTTGTTGTCTTTTCTAAAACATGTGAAGAAATAAGTGTAAATGGGAGAAATGCCAGTCAACTTGGGAACAATGATGACATTGGGAATTTGCGTGATGTCAATGAGGATCAACTAGGAAGTGCGGGTGCTATTCGATTACCTCAGACCGTGGGAAATGTGGTGTTTCATGTGACCAACACAATGTTGCAACTATTGCAAATGAAGGGTTTGTTTAGAGGACTTGCTCTTGAGGAATCTCATGACCACATTCAAAATTTCATGGATGTGTGTGAACTGATTTCCTTCAAGAACATCACCCAATAGTCAGTCTGACTCCTTTTTTTTCCTTTTCTTTAATGGGGAAAGCAACAAAGTGGTTGACCGAAATATCAAGGGAATTAATTAATTCTTGGGAGGAGCTCACATAAGCATTTTATGAAAGGTTTTTCCCTCCCTCAAAGATGGTTAAGTTGAGGGACAACATTCAGAATTTCAAACGGATTGATGGTGAGTTCATCCATGAAACATGGTTGAGGTTTCAAATGTTGGTTCTCCAATGTCTGACTCTTGTGTTTCCGGATAATGTGTTATTGCAGTATTTTTTATCAGAGTCTCGACACAATCAACAAAGGTGTTGCTCACTAGCTCATTTGGGGTAGAATCATGAGACAACCATTTGACATAGCGTCCGCCCTACCTGATGAGATGACAAAAATCAATCGTGCATGGTACACAAGGGAAGATCAGATGTCTCATTTAACTTGGGCTAACAAAGGAACAAATGGAAAAGAATCAAGAACGAGATGAAAACATGGCTAAGATGATGAACCAAATGGACTTATTGACAAAGCATGTCATGGGAGAAGGTTATAAATCTAGGAATGCGGTTGGTACCAATAGTGGTGTAACCCTGATGACGTGTAATTTGAGGCCATGTACAATGAAGAAGTGCATTTCTTAGCAAACCTAGCCGGGGGTTCTCGTCCGAGCTATCCAAGACCAGGCGGAAATCAAGGTTGGAAGAGAGATCGCAATGATAGTTGGAGAGATTGAGATCACGAATCGCATGACTGTGGTGTAAATTGGAGGAATAGAGATGGAGAAAAAGATCGCTATGTTCCCCCTCATGAACGTCAAAAGCCGAAGAAACCAAGGGCTGATCTTGAAAGCTTTCGGACCGAGGATATGATTGCTCGTATCTTGAATAAGGTGGAAGGATAGGACAAGGTGCTCAAGGAGATTAAAGATGATGTCTCTTCTCTAAACCAAACGATTACATTGCATTTGATGTCCATTAAGCAACTTGTATTACAGTTGGGTCAGATCTTGTCTCATTTAAATCCAAGACCGAAAGGGGGTCTCCCAAGTGATACTTTGATCAACCCAAAAAAGGAGGCATGATCACATGGAAACATCGTGGCACAATGTTAAATAAGGCGCTTCTTGGGAGGAAACCCAATGTTTACTTTTTGTTATTTGAATAACGTTTGTTGGATGTGTAGGTTGAGATTCAATTTTTTGGAGAGAAAGGTAATTTGGCGAGCTAAAGTCCACTAAGAGAACCGTCGAGTGGTTCGGTGAGCCTGACATTGATTGCCCTTTGGACCAACTTAATGGCTGAAAATCTGGAACTTTCGGCGAGCTGAAATCCACTCGGCGCATCACCTAGTTGATCGGCGATATTAATAAAGCTCGCCGACTGAGGCGTGAAAAACGCTCAACTACACCTCAATCAATACTAGGTGTAGATGATCCTAATCTAGTATAAAACCCAGAAAAAGAGTTGGGGTCGAACCCACAAGGAGCGGTACAAGTGCGAATCAACTATGAAGTTATAAAAGTGGTCTAATTGGTTATAGGAATAGAAATTATCGAATTCACTTAAATAGGTAAAAAGGGTGACACGAATGTCAGATGAGAGATTAGGTATGTCAACTAGTAACTAAAGAAATTATGAACAACATGGAAGTAATCAAGTAATTAAGTGGTACTTGGGGGTATGACCGAATAATTGGCAATTTCTCTAAATGGGTGATCGGTAATTACGAAAGTTTGCTAAATCTTTGCGGGTAGGCTATACTTTAGATGCAATAGCTTTCTCTCGAACAACTATTACGATTCAAACGAGTTCTCTTGAAATTCAACAAGCTTAACACTATAAACATCCCAATACCTCACTTTATCTACTCTCTCGAGCTAGATAGGTAGAATCGAGTATAGAATTTACTCTCTCGAGCTGAACCCACAACAACCCAATCACTACAAACGCTGATTTATAGCTTTGATTGCACACCTCTTTCTCAAGCAAGCATAAAGTACTAAATTAGAATTCTAATCTTCACTACAATTCATAAACTGAACCAAAGCTATAAATCAAACCCACTTCAAAAAAGCAACAAAATCAACAATCTCCAACACCCATAAGCTCAATTAGAAAATTAGTCACATAATCACACCCCAGAGAATGGGGGTTTTAGCTACTCATCATGAGAAGCAAGAATTCAATAACAATTACCTTCTTCATAGTTGGGTATTAATCT